GTACAAGTCCGTCTCATCATCTGATACTGCAGCAGTGGTGCCATCCGGTTGGAGATATGTGCAAGCCTTCGCCAGCGGACTATTCATGGCCGATGCATCCTTGATTTTGCCGGTCAAACGACTGCTCCGACATATCTGCCTCAGCATCGTATAGTCGAGATCACCAAAGCACGCCTGTATGCGGCTCGCTTATTCGGCTTGCTGTTCCATTGTATTTGAGAACCGTCCGAGACGATTCATGGTGTGCGTCCAGATCGCATAGCAAGCAACTTCGTAGCTACCAGGTCTCAAATCTCATCTGATATTCACAAACTTCAACTCTGGCAGGCTCTACAGTGTTGAGCATGGAGATATGAGAGTACATTCCACCTTGCTTGCTGATGGATACAAAAACCATGCAAGTACAGTACTCTGCCCAGTGCCACCTAAGTAGATGCTGCTGGAGGTCCAAGACGGTAGCTGCCGAAGTGTGATGTTACGGCTCGGATGGGAGCCTAAGGTCCGAATATGGACGGAAAGTCACCTATCGGGTCATATGGCATGCTTCGCTTTGTAAAACTGAGCGTCCGAGGGTTTTTCATATTATAAATGCAGACTGCGTGACCCATTGTCACAACCATGACGCAATCGTGACAGATTTACTTCCTGACCCACTGATGGTCGCCGTGAAAGGACATAGTGTCCTTTTTCCTGCCGTCCGGAAAAAGGACACCTGCTTTGCCCGCCGTGTGAGGCCAGTAAATATGTAACATGTTAAGAAGCCACGTATCTTGGTTTGAAGGCCTTGAATACTGCGTACCCGATAGAACTGATAAGGAACATACTGGCCCAATGCTGATCGTGATAGGAGATAAAGGTGGCTGAAACGAGGGACGAATCGGGCATATTGTGTTGGCCCATCCAAGTCAGATTTCATCAGGTGGTGATACGAGGACGAAGTGCCAACCCACAACATAACTTATTGAACGGGAATCTCGGTGCGTCGGATACACGTTACCTGCCGGAGCATTCGAAAGCCCAGCTTCCAGATATCGATCATGCTAGGAGACTCCAAGGGATAGAGTTTGTACGGCGAAGGGATGACGCCGATGGTATCGAAGGGTTCCATTCGCAAAGCAGTACTTGAGCAGTACTGGTACGCTTCGATCCTATAACTGCCGCATGTATCTCAGAAGCGTCAGTTGTATAGCACCATCAGATCAACAAGAGCGGGTTGTGCCACCACATGAGTGAGAGAGTTTTCGGCTCCGGTTCGGCCCGCACTCTTGTTCTAAGTCACATTGTAGTACTCACGCGCGCATACCCAACACTTGAAACTGCTTTTCTCTCTGTTGACGGAGCTAAGCAGATGACCAAGTGCTGTATGACAAGAACCTCTGTCCGTCGTGAGGAGTACTAGCCACAGAGTCGGAAGGGAAAGCACTGCCGTTTGAACAGTCTGCTACTCAAATTTATTGGTGTCGGTTGTCTCGGGCACGGCGCAGCAGTACTAGTCGCAGATCCAATGGCCTGAGTCGGTAATGACGGACTGAAAGAGCACACGTCGATAAGGATACCACGCTCAGGTCCACCGTGAATATGGGCTGCTGCCGCGGATCTCGATGGCCCACTCTACCCTCACGCCAAGACCGGTGCAGAGAATTGAGAGAAGATGTTTGAAAGTTTGAAACAGGTTGGTGCGAGGGTGGCCCTAACTAGTATGATGTACGAACTGATCGGGCGCTTGGCAGTAGACTGTTCACCTTCCGGAATGAATGCACCACGGGGAGCATTCAACATAGCCGCACCACTGGTAGCCATCCAGGCACTTTCGTGATGTATGTGTATTCACAGCGCGGTCAACATTACTCCATCGAACATGTCTTGACATGTATGACAGCACATGTGCACCCCTTATGATCGCATACAACCCTCGGGTTCGGCTCTGAGTCCCAGATAAATCTCCCTCGCGTGAACCAAGGACGCTGCCCTGTCCGCCTTCTAGCGCTTATTATGTCGTCCGCTGAGCAACAATTAGCAGGCCTTATCGAGGCTGTCCAGCAAACTTACATGGTCAATCTAGCTGCAGGTAGACTGTTTTCACACCTCCATGCTATAGCTAGCAATGACGGCCATCTATTCATTCGCAGCAGCGGCTCTAACATGGCTTGCATATGAAATCATACACACTATGGTCCTGGAGGCATGATAATCCTGCACCGCAGCTCACACACGATGTTTACCTCTATACCAGATATCGCATGTCTGGAAGTATGTGCCGAAGCGTTGCTGCGCTGTCAAGGTAGACTCATGTGCATGAAAGGGCGGAATTCACTATCCATAAGGTTCTGTATTACGTTGTCCGGTACTGGACGTTGTATAGCATGATGTAGGTCACCGTTGGTTCGTCTCTTGTTGCTTTACTTATAATCTACTCGTTAGCTTCACCCTAGCTGGTATAGTCATCATCATTAGCTCGAGAACGGGAGCATCTGTTGACCTTTCTCCCAGTTAACACCAACACTAGTGTTCCCCTCCATGTAAGTCTCTTGAATTTTAGAGGCCCGGAGCTACATGGCTCATGTTGCTGCTACAGTTGTGAGTGAGCATGAGTCGCACATTTTTCACCGGACCGTAGTTCTCATGGTCTGTGATCGTGAACTCAGCTGCAGGCATTGGTTCTGGTACAGAGCCATGTGAGGAGCACTGTAAGGTATCTTTGGGCGAGTAGCTCATCTTTACCCTTGTGCAGTACTGGACCCCTCGTAATTACAACTGCTGGAGAGGCTTTGTTCCTGATCCGCATCTATGCAATATATGGTCGAAGCCGGAAAAGTAAGACATGTATTCGTGACCGCTGGGTGTCACCAGAGTGATAATTTCTATCAAGTTCTCTGTCTCATCGTACCTTTGTATCTCGGTACGTCTCATCTCATCCCACATTCGTCCAGACTTGATGACATGTAATGGACGCAGCTCAATTTGTGGTCCGTGGATTACCCGTTGTTCTACTTATGAACTCCGGCCTTAAACGAAGCTCAATCTGCAGGGCGGGCTGGTCTCGGCTATCCTCGAGGTTGGCTCAATATCAGCAACTCCCAGATCACCCGGTTTCCCCATACCGGGCTGCTTAGCCACTTTGCCACAGTATGCGCAACTTAATTATATGTCCTGGTATGGTGGTTCTTTTCCGTAGTAGTGCTCTGACAGACCTGTGTATCCTCAGGGGCATATCGATGGTGGCTTCATGTTAGGAGCATCTACTATCATTGTCAAGGCGATTGCTAACAGTCTCTCATAGGCGTATATTTTCTCCTTACTCTCTACAAGTTTGTTATCAGCTTGTATCCTCCAGGCTCTCCGGCACAGCACCCTAGCATTTTTGAGCTTCGACATCTCGCGCCGATATTTTATCTCTTCATTCGCGATGGTACCTTTTACTTCTTTGTGTAAGAATTCAGCGGTGTAAGACACGTCTCGAGGCTTATTAGATACTCTCCACTTACAGGGTGTTCGGTATGTGCCCGTGGTTACAAACCCATTCTCTTAATGACAATGTCATGTCAAGTGTCCAATCTTCTAAACCTCATCTTTACCGGAGTTCTAGCAAATTCAGCACTCGAGCAAATGGGCACCGCGTGAGTCATTCTCAGAAACGTCATTTCTCTAATTAAGGTGCATTGAACTAGGTGGCTTATGGCAACCTATGGTGTCACGGTAATTAGTCCGTTACTATCTGCTGCGTGCAGGAGTGCTGACTCGCAGTCTCCGTTTCAAGTCCTGCAGACTCTACCTCAATCTTCGGAACTCTGTGGCAAATGGGGGACAACTCACATCGTGGAACGACATTGAACTTCGTGATAGATCGATCAGCCGTGGGATGGTATTCGCTAGGGAGGCCAACAGCACAATGGGCTCGGACACGGTAATGCCTTGAATTCTTTTCACTGGGCATGCATGGCCTTCATAGCTGTCCGTTTGTTCTCAATTGCCCAATGCTGGTCGAATTTTCATCAGTCTCAGCATGCATATATTATTCGATTCCATCATCGAACTCAGTAGTGCTCTATGTAAGATATTTTTTGGGAGGTTCGCGTCATGTTGGATCGACTGGAATAGCATTAGCACAAGGCCGGATATCCCTCATGGAGGCACATGGAGGCACACGGAGGCACACGGAGCCCCGCAGAGGCCCCCCACCGCACTACTGTCAATGGTACTTGTCCCGAAACTGCTGTCTCCTTACTGTACTTAAGTAGATGCGTCGCGGCCAGAGACGCTATCTCCCTTCCGAACCGGTGCCACAGGCACATTGCATATACTATCATTAGCATGGCTCGATTCTACTGGGGGGTCGACAATGGTCATGTACACCGGTACGGCCTAAACCTATCATCTCCCGAGTCATGATCACTGATTTTTCTGAGTTATGAGGCTCAAATCACGAAGTCTCACTCGTAGTTGGCGCGCGTCACGAGCATCCCACCAAAACGGCAACCGTGGTTCCCAGCCGCTTCGTAGCAGATCTTGCACCGAATACGCTGTGATGTTTGAGTTCCACAATGGAACACTAACTACAATCTTCGTGGGTTCGTGAACTTGCTTGAAGATCCAGAAGGATATACCGTGATCGATGCAGTAGTGCCGTGCAGTCGAAGGTTTCACAACTTCCGAGGACCCCGTATTTTGCGTGCAATTGCAACCTGAACGTTAACTTTACCGACACCGCCTCGAGTCGTCTTCGCAGCATTCATTTGCACGCCGACTCATGGCCGAAAGGCGCCCACGATGCATTCCCATCTCGTTCAGGATGTTCTATCAAAGGCCTGATCCCAGGAAGTACATACACACGGCCTAATGGGCATTGCGGGCTTGACGTGTCATGATCGAATTGCCTCATTCACAAATCGTTTAGGTTCTGCCCTGACGTTCCATCATAATAATACACCGTACTCAACTCTCGGTGTCATGAAAGCATGAATGGCACCACTACTCGAGGGCATAGGTAAGTGGCTGCTTTGAGTTTAAATACTTAGCAGGTCAGACGCCTGACGTACGCGTACCCTGCGTCGGGAAAGCTATCATGTGCCAAGGAGTCATCGCCATCTTACTTCTGGTGCTTCCTCTCCCCCTGCTATATCGCCGATGGAAATATGTGTCGATTGCCTACATCCAGGGACCCCATGTTGACTCCTTCATTCTGGGTGAATATGGTGTACGCCTTAGCTGAACTGGGCTTACGCCAGCTTCCAGGTAATTTCCCAGAATACTTCCAAAATGAAGTCGGTCAATGTGAGTTTGAGTGGCAAGAGCGCTTGGGAGCCGTTTATCGAATCAAGGGACTGTTCGGAGTATGTCCATCATGATCACCTTTCGGTATATCCATTGAACCTCGTTTATGTCGTAGGAAGATCGCCTGATGATCGCAGACCCTAAGGTAAATACGTAGTCGTCTTCGAACGAAATCCGACGCTCACTCGTGAGCTAGGCTCTTCAGCATGTGTACCAAACCGCATCCACTCAGTGGCTGAAACCTACGATACGACGAGAGATCACTCGTATGTATATAGGGAGAGGTATCGCATGGGCCGAAGGTACGGTCGGTCTCGATGACTCTGAACGTTGCATTGAAATCCCGTGGTAGGGGAAGATCACAGAAGACATCGTAGAATAATGATGCCTGCGTTCGGTAACATCGAAAGTAGGGGCATGATGCCCTTATTCCGCGAGACTGCTGATCGAGTAAATGCACGCGATATTTGATCTGTCAAGTCTGCTGACGAAGGCATAGATGTGCGGGCATTGGAAAGACATCATCAGTACCCTCGGGGACGGGAAAAGTGCCAGTATTGACGTGGCTGACTGGCTTTCGCGTGCCACGCTGGATGCAATTGGAGAAGGTGGGCTTCACAGCATATACTTTGTTTGCAGTTGAGACATATTCTCGGCAGCTGCCTTCGGAATCCAGGTGAGATAACATATCCTTTCAGAAATGATTGTATACCCACCGTGGGCCGTACATACTAGTTTGGAACCATGGAAAATAAAGACGACAAACTTGCGCGCAGCTACTATAGTCTGCTGTGGGCTCTCACTCCATAGGTCAATCTTCGCCAGAGTTGACACTTTTTGACATAGGATGCAAGCCTTTGGGCTGCCCACCAGAGTGAAAATATTTGCGCAACAGATCTCAGCCTACTTTCCGGCATGGGTGTTTCGTCTACTCGAGCGCCTCCCCTCCCGTAGTCTTGAAAGGCTGCGAGAAGTCGCGTATGAAGGTAACAGGGTCGCGGAAGAGCTCGTTCAGAGGAAAATGGAGGCCCTCAGGATAGGCTCTGAAGCGCTCGACAAAGACGTCATGAGCTTGCTAGGTACGGCCTTGCTGCGAGTTGTGTTTTTTGTTCCCGCGTGAATATTGAATCGCAGTCGAAGCAAATCTATCCGCAACTCCTGAAAATAAGCTGAACAACGAGGAACTCTACGCTCAGATGAGGTACATGAGATAACGCCACTTCAGCTGACTTCTTTAACGCTCACATTTCTTGTCAGGACAATCCTAGTGGCAGGACGTAAGAGGATTAATCGACTGATCCCAGTAAAAATCCTATGTACTAATGCTACAGCTTAGACGAAACGTCAGGGAACACGTTGGCATTCATTTTATACGAACTGTCGAAGAATCCTTCTATACAGACCAGGATTCTGGAAGAAATCCATTCCACCTTGGGTGTATCTCAGGAATATACTATGGCTCAACTTGATCGTATGCATTACACGCTGGCCGTAATCAAGGTGAGCAACTCGCGCCAGCCATGGCTGTGGCATCTGTAGATCCCGGACCGCACACAGGAGGTTCTTCGCGTCCACCCTGTCGTATATGGACCATTCCTGGTAGCCAAAGAACCGGATGTCATACCGCTATCCAAGCCAATCATCAGCATCGACGGGAAGCCTATCTCGACGATCCCAGTTTCTGCGGGACAGTATATCCACATTTCATTGGCTGGGTATAATAGGTACTTGTTCTCATCTGTATCCCGAAGTGGTACACTGATTATGCGCTTGGCGAAGGCTCAAAGATGTCTGGGGAGAGGATGCCCACGAGTTTCTACCGGAAAGATGGCTGGAAATAGAGGAGGGAAGGAGAGAGATTCATAGCCTCTTCGGTGTCTATTCGAACCTGTATGTCGTCCCGTTTCCCTCAGATACATCTGCATGACTAATGGCGAGCCGCAGAGGAAACTTTGTCAGCGGAGCGATTTCTTGCTTAGGGTAAGTTATTGCTGGATGTACCCTTACAGGACTAACGGTCTCGCTATCCTCGTCGTATAATGATACCCAGCTGGCGCTTCGCGTATGTCATCCTGCTTCTCATATTCAATTCCCGAGCTCACCCATCACTTCTCACAGGGTCATAGAAATGCAAGTGTTTTTGGTGGAGATCGTGCGGAATTTCCAGTTTTCTCTGCCTCCCAACGGGAAAAGGGTTATCAGGGCTACGAGCGGTGTCATGGCGCCAGTGTTGGAAGGAGAGGTCGAGAAGGGGAAACAGTTGCCTCTTGTGATGGAGCTTCGTGATTAGTTTGCTTTCTCGGGCTGCAGCTACATAGTACGTGCCGTTCTCCTTGTACTTGCGCGCTTACCCCCTGTGGGTCTTTTTATCGGCATTGCTGTCATTCTGCGAGGACTGAAGATACCATATGACTGTTTCTCGATCTTTGTTCACGTCAAGTACTCTAGAAGACGTCATGGCAGGGGATGGCGCCCTGCTTCTCGATAGTTGAGGCAGGCTCGCGCTCGGCGGTCATCCGCTAGTGAGGTCACCCTATGGTTAGGTATCCATACATCTTTGAGTACTCAGAACACCATTCTCAATCTCATCATGACTGGAAGTAGCGTGCTTATCAGATACGGTAACAAATATCCACCATTTAGGCTCTCGGTGAGTCACTGTCTAAGTGTGCTCTCGAGAACGCTCTCACACGAGCTCGCACGATCACTGATACCAAGCGGGGTTCCTCTGCCATAACAAGGGTCTGGATGATTAAATTAGATTGGTAGCATGAAATTTTGCCACTACCAGGTTTCTTGGGTTCGTAATTCATTTGCCACAAGATCGGCTTAGATATGACACTACTCGCACCAGGCGCGTGGTGCGAAAATCAATTGGAGTAATAAACATACATTTGGATCTAAAAAGACATGAAGGATATCACAAACATCAAGGACGGGCATCGATTTGCTAGGCATCGATTTCCTAGGCATCGATTTGCTATGCCTTGATGTGGAAGGTCGTCGATTACAAGATACAGACGGGAGAAAGAGATGAACCTAGGCAGCAGCCAAAAATGCCGGAATGTCGTCCCAATGGAGGCTCGCACCTGGGAACTCCTGAAGAACAAGCCCCGAGAGCCATTCAAAGACGGTAGAGTAAGTGACGTCCGACCCCATCGGCTCCTTTGTTAGTCCCGCTGGTGAGCAACGAAATAAACTCGCCCTTGGGGGAGACGATGATAGAACCAGAATCGCCTTGCTTGGAGAAAGTGCCGGTCGCGTTCTCGTGAGGATAATCGGTAACTCGAAAGACTCCAGAGTTCCGGTAGGATATTACTTGCGGACGAAGGACATGAATCTGCTGACAGTGCCCACAGAGGTATTGGTAGCAAAGCCATGCTTGACAGCACGACGCAGGGGCTCGCCTCCAACATTCTTGTTATGGGGGTTGCTGAGCTGCTGGGCGGTAGGGATGTTTTGGAGAACAAAGAGGCCGTCAGGGGGGTATTCGAAGGCCGACTCGGCATCGTCTCGTTCATGCAGCAAGGACTTGAGCTTCTTTGAGGTGTACTCGGGGCCTAGACAGAAAAGAAAAGACAGACAGAGATACACGTCAGACGAGCATATATAATGAGACAGAATGAGCATGCACCAAGACTAAGCACATTCCCGAGCAGACTGGCGAAGCTTTCCTTATACAATTGGACCACACAAAGGTCGCGAGTGTACTGGTGAGGATGGGCACCAACACCGATCGGGGGAGCCCAGACGACGTGCCCAATGACGCGCCGCGAGGTCTTGCCCCAGCGCTTTTTCAGTCACAAAGAATTTCTTGAGCCTGTCGTGTAGCTGTTGAGGTCGGTCTGCGACTGTGGGAGGCCCATTCCATTCTTCACGTCGGATGCGAGTGCCTTGATTTTGACCTGGCAAGCGTCGACAGTGTCCATGGACGTTTCGATTCGTGCCTGGATGGAGGACAGGTAGTTCGTGAAGGCAGGCTTGCCCATCAAAACTACCTGTATCTTCGGCACAGAGCCTGAAGTGCCAGAGCTTGATTATTATCAAAGGGTAAAAGATGGAAACATGCTGTTGAATCTGTACTCATGATTACTCCAATCGGCAGGGAAGAGGTTGTGACGAACGGTAGGGCGTAGAGCGAATTTCCCACGTGGAACTAGGGACCCATAGTGCCCTGCATCGTCGTCTTGCGACCGGCTATGGGGAGACTGAGGGCAACCGACACGGAGTCGATGAATTCCTTGCGATAATCGATGATACCAACTGGAGCGAAGAGTGCTGGGCTAACCGAGGGCTTCGGGATAGTCTCGCGGAACGCAATATCTATGACGCTGACATTGAACTCAGCGAGATAGGCACGGATGTGTTTGGTCGCTTCGAATGCAGCGGCAGCGGTGAGAATGTTGGGTGCTACGCCCACCCCGATGGTTGGGTTGCTGTAGTGACGTTCACCGTCCTCGACAGGCTTGATAGGTGGGATAGAGTCGTAGTCGAGCTCGTCTTCGTCCGAATCATCTTCGTCTACCTTGACCTCACCATTCTTCTTGTTGGGCCACGCGAATCTAACATAGTCGACAGCGGTGATCATAATCTTCTTCGCGTCGAGGAGCTCAACAACCTTGAGAAGGAAGACTAATCAGCATATTGTTGCATAACGCGAACAGGGGAGACGCACTTTGTCCCGGACCTTTTCCTACATGCCATTCTCTCCAAACGGATGATCGTCCGGGACGGCAAGCAGGCGCATGAGTCGCCTACCTTCTTCAGGGCCAGTCGGCTCCTCGTAGATATCAGACGAATCCCTGTAGATAAGCTTAGGTCCGCGACCATTTTCACGTATACCAGCATAGTATTAATGGGCTTCGATCTTGCACGCATGCATTTGGAAGGCTCGTATGGGGAGCTCTGAGCGCTAGATTCGTCCTCACTGCTAGAATCGCTGTATTCATCCGAGGATAAGGTGGACTTGCGTGCCCTAAGACAGGGAAGGTTGGTTCCAGGTGAAGCAGGACATAATTCGAGGCATGAGTCTTCGGAAGTGAGAGGCAGTTGAAGAAAGTAAACGCGAAACTGCAAGGGACCTCAGGCCTCAGGGGCTGCAACGCCAGGAATTCCGAATTCCACCATCGACATTGTCGGGCGGCCCCAAGGACAATATCCAACACACCAATATTACAGTACGAAGATTAATTGCGAGGATAAAAATACAATGCGATTATGCTTCGACTTCTAGCCTCTGAATCACATCAATTACACATTAGGCCCAAAGCTGCCCTTGCCCTTCTGCTTGAACGTCTGCTCATCCTCCTGCTGGAGCTCCTTGTCGATCTGCGCACCTCTTGAGGGTTCGTTACCGTGCGCCCGTGCGGGGGCTTCTGGGTCAATAGTCGTCTTTGCGCGCTGTTTCTCGTCACGGCTGACTTTCTCTGCCTGTGCGAGCTTGTTACCCAGCGTGCGCTCGTCTCTGCGGAGCAACGCGTCAGCACGTGCGGAGGTGGGACAAAGGCAGGTCGAATGCGTACTTGGAGTCTAGTTGGTCATGGGCGTTTTTCTGACCAGCCTCGAACTGGGCAGGGGCATCAGTGTCGCCCTTGGACGTTCTGGGGGGACGCCGCTCTGTCAGTATCGAACAATGTATTCCTCCCGGTATAAACAACATACCTTTGGTCGCCAGCCTCGTAGACCTGAGAGTTACCAACGTTGGACATCATGGATCCGCTCGACATGTTGAATTACGGGAGTATTGATTGGTCGTAGATGAAATGAGTTATTGGTCGTGTGGAGGAATGCAATGCTTGTGGTGATGGATGTCAGGACCTGCGAGTCGCTGAGCGCGGTTATATAGGAGGTCGAAAGTCGGGGGAGACATTGGGAGTGACGTCATGGGGGAGTAGTGAGATCACTGTGCGCAAGTCAGTTTGGTGGCTCCATGGATGCGATGTGATTATGCGTACGGACGACGACGGCGCCACAAGAGGACACCACTCAATCGATGGCCGATGTAAAGTTGAAACGTGGCAGAAATGGAGTTCGGGATCTTCGGTTATCGCATCGCTGCCAATGTTGTAGCACACTGTGCAATGGGACTCTGGTACGTTCTCGAGCGACGGTCAGAGTCTTGCATTGGTTGGAGAGGTCAGGAAGGAAAAGCATAGGGGATCGGGCTGTATTGGGAGAGGTATCTATAACAACCAGCTATTCCAGGATGCTATAGAGCGCCTAGTATCAGGCAAATCGACATGCCACGAAGCCTGACAATCGGAAGTCATGATAATACACACCAAGCAACCCGCCAGACAAACCCAGAGAACACGTCCACTTGCGATGTGTGAACCACCAGCTCTGCAGGTCCTCCTCAAAAACCAAGGACAAGCGTGACGAAGAGTCGAGCATTAAGATATCCAACAGTCCATCTCCGCCCTACTTTGGCACAAGCCAGCCTTAGAAAAGTAGAAGGGGCATGGCTTGCAATTTGACTCGAGGTGCGTTGAAGAGAAACCAACGCACCGCCGGCACACTGACAAAAGGTGAGGGCGTGGGAACACGTCCGGCATCCTCCGTTTTCCGAATTTCGTGTGCTTCGCACTTGGTTTGGATCAGTCGCGATTGGCTGGGTCCGCCGAGATCCATCCTGCGCTGCAGTCTCTCCCTGCAGCCTGTCATCTGTCCTCGATGTCGGCCCACGCACATTACTTTCCGTGCAATTTGGGATCCTGTAATACCATCGAGGTATTTCATATCTCGGGCTGATTTAGCCACAAATATCCGTACACAAGTCTCGCCATTCGCACAGAGAATGATGTGCGCGACATCCGGCGGTGAGGGTTGGATGGGGGGTGAAGCCTGTCAAAGCTGCGGTAGTCATCCTGGAAACACTGTATATACCGCCCTTCTGTAGTGCCGTACGGCAACGTTTGTATGTCGCCATCGTTATTGTAAGGAATACCAGCGGTCAGACTCAGTTTCTGTACAGTAAGTCCAGCTTTCAAGTTATCTACGAGGCTTCCAGGAGTATAACCTTCTCGATCCACCTCCCCCGCCTGGGTTGCTGCAGGGCTCTACTTGCACACCGACAGCATAGTCTCCTCTCGAGGTGCGAGTAGAGCCCGGCGGCCTATGAGTACCACATCGGTACTCAACCCAGGTGGAGAGAGGGGCGCTACCCACCTCCGTTCCATCCACATTCCTTTAACCGTCTCTGCTTATCCCGTCTTCGTCTTCACAGCTCCCTTCATACTCAGGATCTAACGAACGTCACGACACACCACGCGGGAGATTTCACTCTTCCGCTTCCCTACCCGTGCTTAAGCAGATCTCGGAGCCAAAATGTTATCTCTGGTCGGCAATGGCGAAGCAAGCACCGTGCGGAAGAGCAGGCTCTCGTGGCTCCTCTCCATAATAACCCGAAGGCGGCCCGAGCAGGGCATTTTCCCCGCACGGATCGAGTCCGACGACGATGCGTCCTTCGGGTCGCCCACGCCCACACGGTCGAGTACTTCCTCAAGCCTGTCGTCCTCCTCCTCGGCGTCCAGTACGGCGACACCTCCCAGCTCGTGCCCCGACTCCCCGACGCCCACTGAGTCGTCAGAGGACGACTCGGAGTTCGCGTCGGCGCCCACCAGCCCGACTGCCGAGCATGCGTTCGCGTTGCCGACCTACGCGCAGGTCGCCTACCCCGCCGAGCCGCGGACGTACGCGTTCACGCAGCGCTCGCCGTTCGCGATGGTCATGGCGAGCGAGGGCGCGGGGGACGATGCGCGGTTCACGTACTATATTAGCGTAGGCGTGAATGTGTGGATGCCAAGTTGTGTGAATACCTTCGTCAGGAGGGGCGGGGAGGACGGGAGGCTGATTGCACAGCTTGAGTGAGTGCATTTCATGTGCCCCTAGGTTTGAGAGGATGATTGACGCGGAGTAGGCTTGGAATCACTGCCGAGACGGCAGTTGTGGTTATGGGCGAGGCGAGGATACCGCTGAAAGGCCTCTTGACGCGGAAAAATCTTGCGAGCAAGTAAGTGTTAGTAGGCTGATTTCTCGCATGAGAGATCTCACATGATATGAAGGTCACGCTTCTACCATCTCGACGACGGCACCACCATTAAATGGGTGATCAACAAGCATCCGTGGCAGGCAAGTACTCACTTCGCATTTCGTCCTTTCTTCTTCCAGCTCACATAGCGTATCCATCCAGGCTACCGTGGGCTCAACCACCCTGGCTACCTTCCAACCCAACTCAGGATCGTCGCGCAAACTGACGGTCTACCCTGCCGGCTACCCACTTTTCGACCACCTCGTCATTGGGCTGCTCGTCCTGATGCGCGAGTACCTGACGCCCTCTACCGCCCAGATTGGGGGAGCTGCAGGGTTGTTCAACTACCACCCTCACGCGCTGCCCAATGATCCGTTGTAGCGTGTGAGTGCTTCCGCTATTGACCTGTGGTCTTTCCGGACTGAGCGGTTTCCTCGCAGACCATCGTATATCTGCTTTCGTATTTCTTGGATTCCGCATGTTGTACTGCATATTATTATCACCCTAGATCTAAAGACATTTGTATGAATACCAAAGGAAATCAGGCCAGCAGCTGCCTAGTTGACCATCCCCTCCTTGTGACACTCCCTCTCTTGCAATCGCGGACTGTAGCACTATCATTCATTTTGGGGCTCGTCGGTCTGCTTTGGGAGGCCGGAGCGGATGGCCATCCTCCAGGCAGCTGGTACATACGACAGAGGCACCCGGACTATCCCCATGCATATCGTCGGACGTTTATTGTGGTCCAGTGCAGGATCTATAATAAAGCATTCTCTCGTTATTTTGGGTCGGTGTTCGGTAGCAATGAGGCGCGTTACGTACCTAAGGCCGTACAGATATGGAGAAAGGTTTGCAATAATAGACCGTATACAGTACTCACGACGGAGAAGCACAGATGATTGGCTATCCCTGCAGAAAGCGTACCCTGACTAGGATCAAGCTCTCTTCGCAGTTGGTAGAGCCTCGAGGAAGGACTTCATCCCGACGCTGTTCCTATCCAAATTCGGGTCACCACTGACGTCGTCCGCGGGCTTTCAGGTCGTGTTCCTCCAGCCCCAAAGCCTGATCCTCCTGTTTAGCAGCCAGCAGGCGACCAGAGGATGATAGGAGCAACATGCAAGTCGAGCGAGACAGCGGTCAAGTGCCCGCATCGAAGCTGTTTGCCGGGCCCCGGCAGATCGTTTGCACAATCGCAAGCCGGGTCCACACGTCCGTGTCTCGTCGTTTCCATTCGTTTCCGTCTTGTTTCGCCTTTATCTATCCCGCGAGCTCGCGCTATCCCGCGAGGCCGCTCTTTTCTTCGCGTCCGTCCCCCCCTCGCTCGCCATTTTGTGGCTATTTATTCGGCTCAGGCTAAGTGAACGATGCTCGGGCGCACGCTTCTAGCTTCGTTATTCGTATCCGCGGTGTTAGCGCAGGATGGGGGGATCTCGGGGCCGACGTCGAGCAGTGATGCTGCTGGGTACTCTTGCGATACGTCCAAGTGCCAGCTCCCGGACTGCAATTGCGCCAGCACGAGCCCGCCAGGTGGTTTAGACCCTGTAAGCACGCGCATATAGTCACTAGGACGCCGCTGGGGTCAGGGTAGAGGGAGGTGAGGGAGCATTGGTTTCGTGGCCGAAGCGACTGCTCTCCCCCCCTTTGCCAGGACTTCGATGGTCGTCAGGTCTTCCACCTATTAATAAGATCTCACTGACTCCTGTGAATAGTCCCAGGTCCCTCAGTTCATCGTCTTCACCGCCGATGATGCTATCCAATCGTACACATTGGACTCGGTCAACCAGTTCCTGGCTCAGCGCAAGAACCCTAATGGCTGCACGCCCAAAATGACATATTTCACATCGCTAAACTACACTAACTACACTCTGGTAACGGATTGGTTTGTGGCTGGGAACGAAATCGCCGATCACACGTACGTCTTTGTACCACACATCCTGGCTACTTCGACACAGCTTATATGCGCATATACAGTATGACCCACGTCGGTACCCCTCCGGAGGAGGAAATCAACGGCAACTTAATCGCTCTCAATGCCCTCGCTGGCATCCCGCTCTCCTCCATCAAAGGATTCCGCGCTCCCTACCTCAACTACAGCGTCGACACCCTCAAGATGCTCGCCAAGGCCCAGTTCCTTTACGACTCCAGCGCGGCCGCGTCCATCCCGGTCACTGACTCAGGCACTGACGCCTACTGGCCGTACACGCTCGACTACGGCATGGCGAACGACTGCCTTGCCGTTGAGGGCAGCTGCAAGGGCGAGCCGAAGCTCCCTGGGTTCTGGGAGATCCCGATGTACGCATTCTTCGATAACCGCGGCGTCGCGGGACCGCACTTGATGGACCCGTGGCTCGACTCCGCCAACGGCGCGAGCGCGGTGAACGACTCGGCGACCCTGGAGTACATGAAGAAGACTTTCACCGACCATTATAACGGGAACCGGCAACCGATTGGGCTGTACACCCACCCGATCCACTTGTCGCGAACGTACCCCGGCGTGGAAGTGTCAAACTCGACTATCAATATGATCAACGCGTTCCTGGATTGGGCGCAGGAACAGCAGAACGTGTGGATCGTGTCCAACGAGCAGCTGCTGGACTGGGTGCGGCACCCGGTCCCGGTCTCGCAGCTTGATTCTTTCGATTCGCTCAAGTGCTCTACGCCGCAAGTAGACTCTGGCAAGAAGATCTGCAATGGCATGCCCCAGAACGAGGCGGGGTTGTTATCGCATTGCGCGTTCCCGGACTTCCCATTCTATACTTGCGTAAGTGCGACCATTACAAGTACGCATGGTTGCCGCTGATCACCCTACTCCTGCAGTACGGTTGTCCCGAGGAGGAACCCACACCTAAGAATCCTAATCCGCCGCAACAAGTGCCGGACGGCCAGCAGGCTCGTTACCGCTGTAAGTAACGACGAATCTGTGGAAAGGGAGAAGGGACTAACGGCTTTTACAGTGCCCAGCAATTGCTCGACGCCCTTCTGGGACCCCATCGCCGGGCAGTGTATCTGCTCGTCCGACGCATGTGCATTCAGCGACGACTCTCGTCCAATCGGGGTAAGCCGTACCTTGTATGCAGCTGTGTACTCCTCCTGATCATTGATGATGTGACAGCCTAATGGCGCTAATTTGACTGGCGGGGGCACCGGCGGGAATTTCACGGACAGCGGTTCCACGCCCACGGCATCATACACCCCGTTCAGCTCCGCGCTGCCCACGCTGCCGCAGGGCTTCTGGTTGGCGCTCGCCCTTGCCTGCGTCGGAGGCGTCGTAGGCTCCCTCGGTGTCATCGACAAGCTATAGGCTTGCCGCGGCAACAAATTCTCGTTCACAACCGGATACCTAAATTTCGGATTCGTTGGCATTTCGGACATGGTAATGGAACTTTAGTACCCGCGTAATTTCGCATCTAGCATCGGGACATCATTGATGTATATAGCCACATATTTCTGTCTTTACGACCATTTCACGCGTTCCTAGTCCTACCAATTTACCTAATTTGCATTGTTACACATCCGGATATTCAGTAACGCCCCATAGATCAGTGAGGCCGAGCATAACAGAGGGTAAAGCGCCGAAGCGACATTAATTGGCATGCTTTATATTGGCCCTCTACGCATGAGGACAGTTCGTGGATTCACGAGGATGCCAAAGCTCCTTGTTGCCTCGTAGGTGAATGAGGATGCTTCTATTGCGCTACTGGTCCACTCGCTGGGCAGGAAAGAGCGCAGTCCACCCCAGCTCGAAGCACGTAAAGATGCCTGGTTATTGAAATGAATTACACGGTGTCTCGGCCTGCTAGAATTCGCGTCAGCGCACGCCATTTGGTCCCAGAGTATTCCTTACAAGACAATCTTGCTCGAGTTTGCTCAGCCCGTCCAGCGTCCGTTCCCTCTGCATGCGCTCCCTCAGCGATTCTCGGGCATTGAGGCTGCGGAGTGGGAGTGTCTTGAGTGATGGAGTAATATTTCAAGAAGCGATAATGGTCTTACACGACGAGCATGCCATTAATGTGCACTGAGAATCAGCCCGTAAGCGACATAAATCGGATACCTTTGACTTGGATGTAATGAACTGCCAGATGAGTTAGCTCCCCACGCCCCGAGAACATGAGGTACTGTAGGCCGCCACTTACACTGTCAACCACGAGGGCTTGTTGGACTATTTGATAGACGTACGGTGAAAATGTATAGTCCTACCAGGAAGCTAATCACGGCATACGCTGGGTATGCCACATCCAACGGGGCTTAAAGCACTCTGACGTACCTGTTTGCCAATCCCGTCCCAAGCGCGAGAATGATCAACGACTTTACTGTGTACCTAGCCAGCGGGAAGTCATTATGGATATGCGTCGGGCACACACCCGACTCACTTAGCCTGCTGGCCTACGCCGTGCTGTGCCCGGTAGAGGAACCAGAACATGCACAACGCGATCGCTAAGTCCGTGATGATGAAGATAAAAGCGCTGATCAGCGCCAATAGCTGGTGATATGTACTTTCAGGCCGTGGTATCTGCAATCTGAATGAGATATTAGCGACGCGTCTCCGTGGCCACCAGGTAGCGAGATCGAAAATGCTGACCCATTCTTCACAGATACTGCAGTGATTGACTTAGACTTGCTTGATCTTTGTTCCGAAAATGCAACGTACCCGTGGTGAAAGCCAGGATGATACCCGCAGGAATAAACTGCCGTGTGTCTGAATCAGTATTACGCTTGTGACTGCTTGAGACGTACTAATAGCAACGATGATTTCTTCCCGCCGACTGGGCACATAAATGGGTAAGGATGATCTGGTGGACGCTGAATCGGATATGCACATTTAAATAGCCGAATGATGTAGAAACTAGCAGAGCCATTGGTGAGCTAGATGAGATGATGAGATGAGATGCATGTGCTTGCCTGTGGACGAGGAAGCTACTGATTTGCTGTTACCAGTGCGATAGTTAGGCTGAGCGTTCAAGGTGCACGAATCTCTGATCTTACCGATACATAACCCTCGGTCTTTGAAAGGGCTCAGCAAAGTGGTAGCAGTTGACCACGATTATGTAGCACATACAGTGAATGTCCTGATGAGAGTTAGTCAAAAGGTCTGACCATATATCAATCAGTAGGACTCTCAATGCCTACCAAGGGATAGATCTGATTTGTTCGAAGGCCTCTGCTTCCTTGGAAAGCAACAAATGCCACAAGGCATGAGATAGGAATATCTGCCACAGTGTGTCTAGCTGCGAGACCGTTTGGTCTGGTGCGTTCCAGGTTCCACAGAAGTGAAACTGACTATAAATGTGACTGCGACCTATGGGGCGGATCATATCATACAACTGAGATCGAGGGGCGCGGGCAGCTCACGATAGCCATAAGGACAAGACAGTCTGTACTGCACCTGAGCAAATAGCGGACTACTTGGCCGCAAGTAATCCCATGCAATCTTAGGCCCGGGGGTAGTTAGACTCTTACACGGGGTAAAACTACTGGCACTTACATGTATGAGACAATGGCGCCCTTTAGTAGGGCTCCATAGGTTGATGAGATCGAGGGCATAGTAAAGAACTCGGTGTCGGGATGAAAGCTCGCGACCGAGCACGCTTTATATCAATCCACGCCTGTTCAAAGGACTGATCACGGCTTGTTGACTATGGTGATAGACGCCCTTCAATTCCCGTTAATGTGCACAGCTAGGGAGTACCAAAGCTGACGAAGATTGGGTCGAGACAGAAATATAATTGAAGCGATCCGCGGGAGGCGGACTCATCTCAATGATAGGCACCAAGTACAATGTAGACCATGGGACTTCAATTGTACAGGGAGTGCGGGTACACGCCTAGTGGTACGAGATCTGCGCAGCGTCTTGAGCGATGGACGCGGTTTAGAGCAAAGAAACGACAGATTTACTGTACCCCACAAATGCAATCGAATCCTAGGATTACTCGCCTGTCAACTGGATGTCGAGGAGACGCCGTTCATCAGTCCCATCGGTAACAGTGTGAGCAAGACTCCCTCCGCTAAATTAGGAGAAGCACATTCCGCGCCGCAGGCAATGCCCGTCTCGATTGGCGCCTCCCTCAGTCGTGCGAGATGTATCAGACCATAACTGACTAGTACTGACTAGTGAACGGAACCGCCGACAAGGCGCTCGAGCAGTGTCTGCGCAACTAATCACACTTGGAATGTGGCCATCATGTCGTCCGACGCAGATGCATACAGCTACGCATATACTGAGCCTACCCTATCGGCTCTGCTCTCTGTCTCGTCTTTCCTGGTCGCATTGAATTTATTTAGAGTGCTAGTTGAGAATGTTATCTCTGGTGCTGGCCTCCTGGGCGAGATATCCGTAGGTGTCATATTTGGGACGCCTCTAGCCGGCATTTTGGCCCAGGAGTGGATGGCAGCTTTCGAAATACTAGGATACATCGGACTATGTTTAATGGTACTGGAAGGTATGCCTCTCTGTATCAAGACAGATTCGTTGGACTGACCTATTGCCTCGATATAGGTGGCCTGAATACACCTCTGTCCCATGCTCTGCCTGCACTGCCAATATCACTTGCGATCGCATGCACGGGAATGATAGCTCCGATAGTGAGCTCTCTTGTCTATTTCAGTCTGATTCTTCGCCCCGGGTATTCTCTCCTGCACGCGTTTGCAGCGGGTGCTGCGCTGAGCTCTACCAGCCTCGGTACTACGTTCTCCGTGCTGAGTTCGGTCAAAGGCGGTATCGGCGAACAGATAGGCCAGAGTAAACTTGGAGCTGTCCTTATGAGTGCGGCCATGGCGGACGATGTCGTCGGACTTATCCTACTGAAAGTGGTGGTTGTCCTCGGCTCCTCGTCGTCTACCTCTGTGGGATGGACCATCGGCAGGCCACTCTTAGCGTCTTTTGGTATGCTCGCGCTGTCCTGGATACTTGCGAAATGGTTGTTCGCACCTTTGGTGTCCATCCTCCTGCGCTTGACGCCCGAAAGACTGAAGCATGAAGTCAATCTTGCAGTCATCGTCCTCCTGACTACGGGTTATGTTGCAATCGCAAGCCTGGCAGGCACTTCTCCCCTGCTCGGGGCGTTCATTGCTGGTATAGTGCTCGCATTTCTTTCCGGCTCTCCCGCCGCTTCTAGCGCATCCGATGCGCTTTCTACTGCAACTGCACCGAGCTTCCGCTACACATTCGAACAATATATCAACCCAGCGCTATCTTACATCTTACGTCCGATATTCTTTGCCAGCATAGGCTTTGCCATACCCGTGAAGACCATGTTCAGAGGACCCGTGGTATGGAAAGGGATGGTATATGCTATCATAATGACTGGTGCCAAGATCCTCTGCGGCGCTTGGCTCCCCGTGGTCGACAATCTATCGTCATGGTTGACCAGACGAAAGCGCATGGCAGCCAAATCTACGAAATCCACCGAGAGCGGTCTCAAAATGAAGGACTGCAAAGCAGAGGAATCGCCAAAGAAGGCGCCTCATCCCCATCCTACTACAATTTCTGATAAAAATGCCAAGGCGGCGACTCCTCCCACTCCCCCAGCCTCACCGACGCCCAAGGGTAGGTTTGTAGCATCTGGGCCCAATAATGTCGTACAACTAGAGTCTTCACCTTCAGCGGAAAGCAGTCCAGACGGACCCTCCTCGACTGCCGTAAGATCGCTGGAGCAAGAGGCTACGATCTCGACGTCGTCTTCAGAACCCGCCCCGTCTCCCCCACCGACGTCCTTACTCTTACCAACCTCCTTGCTTGGCCTCGCGATGGTCGCTCGTGGCGAAATTGGCCTGCTGATAGCTCAAGTCGCGAAGACCGCCGGGCTCTTGGAAGACGAGCTGTTCCTGGTCTGCATATGGGCGACCGTACTCTGCACGATTTTCGGTCCGGTCAGTGTTGGTTGGGTTTGCCGGAGATGGGAGAAGGTTGGTGCTGGTATGGGGAGGTGGGGTTGAGCTAAAAAGACTATTCACTCGAGCGCCATATGCGCAAGGCGAGTTCCTTTGTGTCTCTTATGACATAGACAAGTTGACATATCGACATCCCGACAAATAGACTAGGCACGTGAAATGCCATCGCGCTGGGTGAATCCGAACCTGTCCGATGACTTCGCTCCCCGCTGCTCCCTACTAGCGGCTCTGCCCGCGACTACCACCATCATGGACTCGCGTCTGGACAACTATGCGCTACACGACATATCTAGATCTGTTCCAGACGGCAGCCTCTCGAGGGCGGATACCGCTGAGTCTTCCAGGAATGTCGAGGCCGCCCTCGAGGAGCCTCTTGTGACTCGTACTTATCAGACGCTCCTCCTCCTGTCCGGCTTCCTCATGATCTTCCAGGTCATTGGCATTAACTCCATATACGGTATCTTCCAAGTATGTTTAAACTTGTCAATAATGTATATTTTTTTATCAACGCACACGCAGGAAATGTATACCTCTCCCCGGAGCACTGTGAAGGATGCCATCGGCCAGGACGCCTTTGTGTCCTTGGTAGGCAGTATCGGCACTGGTCTCACCTGGAGTGGGGGTATTGTCGTAAATCCCCTCATCGCTCGCACGAAGGATGTCAGGTGGATCACGGTTTCCGGTGTCGTTATCATGAGCCTTGGTTTGATTCTCGCTAGTTTCAGCACCAGAGTAAGCTCAAGTCCGTTACAAACCGTGATGATGTTTGGCGAGATACGCGGTGCTACACGTCGTGAAAATACGCTGATGAGCGCCATGTTAGCTTTGGCATTTATTCCTCACTCAGGCCTTGCTCTACGGCATCGGCTCCAGTGCATACTACTTCCCCATAATATCGCTCACCCCTCCGTATTTCGACCGACATAGGGGCTTCGCAATGGGCGTTATACTGTCAGGAAGTGGTATCGGCGGGTTGGTGCTGGCCCCAGTCCTGCGCATCCTCCTGGATCGCTATGGCGTAGGGTGGACGCTTAGGATCCTGGGTCTGTGGAACCTTGCAGTTGGGCTGCCGACTGCGTGCGTGATTCGCAAGAAGGCCTCGCTGTTCCGCACGGCATCTGGATCAAGGCCTGTTGGCCAAGCTGGATTGAATATGAACCTCGTCAAGCGCGGTGCATTCCTGTGGCAGGTTCGTCTTACCCTGATGGAGTCCACGTCGCCTCTGAGATGTTGGGATAGTCGCTCGGAGCGTTCCTGCAAGCTTCAGGGAACGTGGTTCCCCTGTACTACATGACGACGTACTCAACATCCATATTGTCGTACAGCAGCTCGGCTGGGAGTCTGCTCCTTGCAATGAATAATGCGGTCAACAGCGTCTCTCGTGTCTTGATGGGCGTGATTGCGGATCGAGTTGGGCGGCAAAATACCATGATTCTGAGTGTATGCTTGAACTGCCGCCGCTCAGGACGCCAGCATCTAACCTATGTATGTTATACAGGTCTTCTTATCCGGCTTATCCGTCTTTGCATTTTGGTATGACGCTTCGCGAGTCCGTTTTCTACTCTTCGTCGTTTCGTACGGCATCTATGCTGGAGGCTACAACGCACTGGTGCCCACGACCATCGCGGAGATATATGGTGTGGAGAACTACTCATCGGTAAACGGAGTTATCTATTTCATACGAGGACTAGGCGCAATCTTCGGTGCTCCTATTGCAGGTGTCATATTGGGGAGTCATCAGAGGAGCGGAAGCTTGAGCAGCCAGAATGCCATCTCTCTGAGATACATGATGGCGACGCTAGGCTCTTTGAAGACGAAGTATAACGAGGTAGTGATATATGACGGAGTATTGTTGCTCAGTGCCGCGTTTTGCGTGCTGTACGTCAGATGGCTCGATGCCAGAGACAAAGGAGGCTGGTCATGGAGAGCGTAGATGGATATCATGTATATTGCCGGTCGTTCTATCATACTTACATGAATATTGGAGCGCCAGATAACTCGGTGATATTACGAGAATAAATGTAATGAGGTTAAGGCCGAGCGGGGCGACTGGGCCCTCGACGGCGGGCGACGCCTGGAAACGGAGCAACCCACACACTCTCGCCATCCAAATGACCGGTGATATCTTCAGGCTGTGATCTTAAGCTGGACATTTTCTCGAAGCCAGGTCAAAGAAGAGGAACAGAACATTGATGAAACGTGGCGGGCAAGGTTGACATGCTCGATAGGGATGTCCTCGGACCTGCGAAACTCGATGAGGTTGCGTAGCTCACCCTCCAGCTCCAGAGACGGCGCACCGCCACCAAGGCCACGGGTTGTATGATATTGATTGTCAAGAGTGAGTGTTCGCAGACACGAACAGAATATACCTTCCACATTAGAAACGCGGTCAACCCTTTTGAGGACCCCCATTACTTCTGTCGCCCAGCACGGACACAATCGTAGTTCCTGCACGGAAGGGAAACATGCGCAGAACTTGGCAAGCAGCGTATGCGTAGCGTATCTGCGGGGTGCCCGAGACTCGGGAATGGCCCGGGTATGGCACAAGGCGACGTTTGTAATTTGGTGCGAAAATGCGGGCCTTTTATTCGATACCGTTATGACGCAAGCCACGGCGTACCCGTCGCAGTTGGAAAACCGTAGCTCTCGCATATTCGGAGCATCTAGACAAGTGAACAGATGAGCAGTGAATTCCTCGCCTCCATCCGATCCCGTCAGCGAGACCTCGAGCGTACGGAGGGCTGGTAAATGAATCGGCTGTCGATCTTTAGCCCAATCCCAGAAGCAAACTCCGACGGTGACGAATTCCGTCAAAGATATGCAAGTAGCAAGGGCGTCACAAAGTTGCTTTGCAGTCGGAAGGTAATCCACAGACTCCAGCCTGAGATATGACAACCCAGGAAACAGATGAAGATGAGATTTGAGTGGTGCTCCTGAGACAATGAGCCGAGAAAGATCCCTAGGCCGCTTCTTGAGGATAGTGAAACTTTCATCACCACGGCACCGCCGGTCATCCTTTATCGACAATTCCCTCAGCCGTGGACAGGACACATCTTGCAGCTGGAAAGCCAAAGACCTGTTGCTGTCGGTGCAGAACACAGCTAACGGCCCATCGATGGTCACATCCAAGCTCTCCCATCTGTCTGCTGAACTGGTTATCAGCAGCTCCACTAAGTCCTGCATTCGCGAGGCAGGTCCGGGGACTGCAGGCTCAAAGGGCTTATCCGCGTGACACCTGAGTTCAACACGGAGTGGATAGGCCTGTGATCGCTGGAGCTGAAACTCCAGGATCCGACCAGAGGACACGGGCGAGACATCCACGTGGTTCCATAGTTCGGGTGTGCCGATAGCCAATGTCCTCCAACGTGAGGATACCCAGGAGAGAATAAACGGGTACGGGAGAGACGCAACAATCTCCTTCCCCACGGAAGCTTTACGCTTGCCACGATAGGTGTACGTCTTGATGAACGGGCGTAGATGCTTCCAGACGATCAGCAGCAGTTCATTCGGGAGGCGTCCGATGACGGACGTATCGTGCTGTAGAGCATGATCTTGCCTATCCACGGTCGTCGCTGACTCCGGTATCTGTGTCTCCGAAGCCAGAGACGTTCTTGCGATTTTATTATGACGCGTTGAAGCCGCCGACCCAAATTGCGGCTCTTTTGAACCTGCAGCTCGAGAAGCGAGTTTCTCGGCCATAGTGCTGTGGTCTTACTTCGTCATAGCAATCCAATATAAGGCCATTGTATTGGATCATGATGAAGGAGCCAAACTACTTACCTAGTAGATTGTTCAATAGCGACGTGAGCGAGTGAGCCACGCCCCAGGCTTGCCGGTCAGTACACTGTTCGCGCGGGAATAGTTCCGATTGGCTGTCATCAATTGTCGTCACGGGACGCGCGTTTGTCGCGTTTGTGGCTGTCTTCTACGGAAGGATATGTACTTATTCCGCTGGCTTTACGCGATTGCGAGACGCATATTATTCCCATGACGGAGCGGCGAGCAATGATTTCGACAATACGCACTAGCTAAGGACGTCCATCTTTAGGACTGCTATATGCCACTCGCACTTCGTTCCGGGATTTTCTTGTGAGCTAACCTGTACAGATATATTTGAGTACAGCTCTCTACCTGTTTGTGACTTACGTGTCGATATCTGGAGCAAAGGGATTTCCAAATCCAAGGTGAGTTCTCTGTTTATATCCGTGTCGGCCTGACAGTTGTTGCTTGCCACTTGGACAGCGGGATGCATTGACCGAGTCTGTTCTAAAGAGGAACCTCAGGTTCCGTCTTTTCATCTTTGCATTTGTCCCGAGTCAGCCCACTAGTAGATGTTCGAGTACTTCCCGATCCCAACGGATTAGATGAACACGAAAACTTGCGGTCAGGATTAGCGTAATCAATGTTTAGATAAACGTCTTTCTTGATCGAGACTACTCCCCAAGTCCCGGATATGGAATGACTACCCGATGAGTGTACAATCTCTCTCTCTCGGTTTCTAATTTGACTGATCCTCGTGATCACACGCAATTCAGCATCCATTTTGCAGACGACACCCAAGACATTCGTCCATCCCGGTTCCTGACATCCCTTGAGGCTGAAACTTCTCAATCGCCATGAGGCAGTCGGGATGATGCCCAGCGTGGAAGCAGGGCTAAAGCTTCTGCTTTGAGCTCACTACTTTTGTGTCGAAGCATGCACACAGTAGATCGCTGGCGGTTGCCGATGCATGTGCGCGCAAGTTTCCAGGATCATCGTCCCGCCCAAATCGAGAGGAACTACCAGAAGAAGGTACGCAATCATTACCTATCTTGCCTTCGTCTGAGGCTAACGCACGTATAGTGCTTCAGATGGACGCGGGATCTAATGACAGTCACTAGGTTAACTCCGGGCGCGCTGATCTCCTGGTACGTTCATTTGTGCCTTATCGTCCTCTGCAATAGCTTGTAAGTCTTCAATACTGGCATCTCGCCCCGCGTACCACCCGCACCCGACCGTGTCCGACCCGCGCCATTCAAACGATCGGCGGTCCCGCCCTGAGCCATTTCCTGCGCGCTCTTCGCAGTCACATTTGGGCACGCCCCTATGCTTCTTATTCTATCTATCGGTGCAACTTGAACCCCAATTCCTAGCAGTCGGTCACCCGTTCCTGGTATCTGCTGCCGCGAGTTTCTGGACGCTAACTAGATCGTGCATCCCGACCCGACCTACTTTCGATCAATTCAGTCGCGCCTCCGCACCTGTCCCGCACAGGTTTCCTTTCCATAATTCCCTCCCCGCCTGGGCCCAGCAGGCTGCAACCCAAGCAACTCCGCCTCTTCCCCACGGCATCGGGTCATGTTTCGACCTATTTTGCGAAGCCATGGCACGCAAAGTATGTACGCCGATCGTGCGATTGATCTACGTAGAGTTCAACTATGTGTATACTATCTTGGGCTCTTGCATCTTGCACCCTGTATATGCTGAATCGCATCGAGAACACTGCGTGCTGATACGCCAACGCTGGGCTGAATTCGGACGCACAGGGACAATTGATTCATGGACGGGAAGGGCGACGACCAACTCGACGAACAATGGCTTGACAGTCAGAGTTAGACTCGCGCCTTCCCTGCATTTTTTTCGGACAGCGGATTCTCATGCGAGGCTGGCTTGTGCAAAAATACCCTCACCCCTCCGTCCAGCAAATATCGGGCGTACCTCGCGCGTCCCGCCCTTCACGCTATCTCTCGCAGTCCCAACACAGCTGTTAGCTCATATACATACCTGACATGGAACCCATCACCCCAACACCAAGCTCGACCTTCTCTGATTTCCTGGTCAATTAACATCCACGAAGCGGGCTATACCAGCCCCCGTCCCCTTAAGCTTCCCACACCGGATATCACACCTTCGTTCCCATGTACATACAGTACACGCAGACAGGCGCGCATCACAATAATAGGAATTCGGATGATCGCGCGCAATTTGGAATGGGTGATGGATTGGTATTGTCGCCGTGGGCTGCGTCGGTCGGGATACGAACACACAATCGCTGGCTCCAATGTCCAACGGACACTCCTGCAGTGAGAATAACAAGTCAGATACTTACGGTCACCAAGCCTGTACACACAAACCACACACATCTGCTCACGGCCGGCGTTGTATTCCAAGCACCCATGATACATAGAATCAATGATACGGCTGTCAGTTCAATTGACCGGTGATTATAATAGTACCGCCACGCACCATATCTCCTCGGAAATGCCAATGATAGCGTCAATGTCCGTTCATATCGAGCTCTGATTGACACCGCAAACGCAAGTGCCAAATTCAACACCGTTCCGTTCACCCGACCGCGCAATCCACTTGGCCGCAGCACCAAGACATGCCTTTGCAAAAAAAAGAGAACTCCTCGATTGACGGGTACTAATGTTACATTGCAAAAAAAAACAGAAGAAAAACAGAACCGCAAGCCAAACCAAAAAAGCGGCAGAGTATGTATGTACGGACGACACAACGAGACAAACACCACCGGCAACACCAGATGCGATCTGGTCCAACTCAGCCGGGAGGAGGGGTAACGAGGGGGAGGGGGTATGATGATGGGGATGAGTGAGTACGTACGGTTGAGCGCGCAGGCGAGGAGCATACAAAACGGATGGATGGATGGACGGATGAACGAGCTAGCATGGAATAAATACGTTGAAGTGGAGTGAAAGGAAATCGGGAGAGCAAGCGTGCTGCGCGCGTGTATGGCATGGCAGCGTTTTATAGTCCGAGAGGATGGGATGGGGGGGGGGGGGAAGGTGATGAATGGATGGATGCGACGGTGGGTGTCATTAGGGCGTAACCAGGCGTGATGAGCGTAACAGTAGTAGTTCTTGTAGACATTGCGAGTGCCGAGACCCGAGACGAGATGAGAAAAAGCAAAAAACAGAGAGCCGCCGTCAGATCGGGGAGACGCCAGATATTCCGTTTAAATGTAGTGATTTTCTTGATGACAGAGAGCGAGCGACTTGAGAGAGAAAAGCGAGACCAGCGAGCAAGCAGCCGCGCTTCTTGACTGTTGAGCAGATAACGAATAACTATACCACCTCCGTTTACGTACGACCCCCCGCGCAAGACCCGGCCGGGCACACGTGACGGCGCCCCTTCAGGCAGGAGCGACACCGGGGAGCAGGCGGGGGGGAGGGCGGGGGCCCCGCATAAGGGAATTCGGGCAGGGGATCCTTCCAAGTGCGAGCGTTCACGTCGTGTTTGATTGATTTATGTTACAGCGACTCTATACGCCGGGCGGACCTTGCAGGACCTGCGAGTACAAGTAGTCAGCGTCTGCCGTTTGGCCAGTCGTAAATGTCTGAGACGACGGCGCGCGCCAGCAACGAAGACCGGAAACTCACCTAACGTCCAAGTCCGCCCCGCCGCCGCGATTCACACTCATGCACTCCCGACACCCATCCCCCCCTCGCCCAGCCTCCTCCCCATCCCAAACCCAAACCCCACGTCCGTCCCGCCAAACCCAAACCCATACCCCTCCAGCCCGAGCCAGCCGCTGTTGTTCACATTGGTCGGCGTCGGCGTGCTCGCCGCGCTCGCGGGCCCACCCAGCGGGCTCTGCGCAAAGCAAAACTGGCGCACAAACGCCGCGTACGAGCTGTCCTTCGTGCTCGCGCCCCGCGGCGTCGTCGCGCCCGACCCCGCCGACTCGGCGGCGTCCTCGCCGTGCACGGGCGTCACGACGCCCGAGTCCGGCGGCGAGCTCTCCGCGGAGCTCATGCTCGGCGTCGGCGCCTCGTCCTTCTCCTTCTGCACCGGCACGACCGTCGTCACGAACTGCCCGCCCACGATCTCGCCCACCATCTTCACCTCCACCTTCTCGTGGTGCTCCGGCTCCTCCGCGGCTTCCTTCTTCTCATCCTCGTCCTCGCGCATATACCGCCCGTCCCAATAAAACGCCTCCTTCCACTCCCGCTCGACATCCTCAATCCGCTGCTCGCACTCCTGCTCCTGCTCCTTCGGACTGGCCACCTTCGGCGGGCTCCCAAACCCAACCGGGCTGAAGATCCCACTTCCGTTCCCCCCAATTGGACTGAGCGGGCCCGCGGGCTGCATGCCCACACTGGGCACGCTCGGCGCGGCGTAATTCGTCAGCTTGAGCTTCATCGAACCGCCCCCGCGGCGCTGGGGCGGCGGCGGCGGCGGCGGCGTGTACGGCAGCATCCCCGGCAGCACCGACGGCGGGCCCGAGTTCGTGCGCACGAGCGCGGCGGGCTTCACCGCCGGGACGCTGTCCAGCGACACGGACACCCCCCTGGACGCGGGCGGGCTCGGCTTCTCGTCGGTGCGGACCTGGCCCGTGACCGGGGTGGTCCTGAGCGTGCTCGGCGCGCGGAAGCTGCCCTGCTGGCTCGAGCTGAGCACGGGGCTCTCGGGCGTCTTCACGGCGGGCGCGTCCACGACCTTCCTGAAGCCGACGCGGTAGTTCTTCCCGTCGTTGTTGTCCCACCACTCGCCGACGCCCGGCGCGGTGTAGCGCCCGACCATGTAGAGCGTGCGCTCGTTCAGGCGGTGCTCGTAGTCCTCGAGGCGGATCACAAAACTGAAGCGGTCCCACTGCGGGCGGCCGTCCGGGGGCGGCATGTCGTCGCCCGCCTGCGAGGACGCGTGCGCGATGATGCCGACCGCGTCGCCGACGGTGCGCGTGCGCGGGAAGGGCGGCGGGATGCTCGGGAGCGAGACGACGTGCTTGCAGGTGACCTCGGACGTGGTCTGCCAGTCGTCGAGCGTGAAGCGCACGGCGACGGCCTTCTCGAAGGAGAGGTTGCGCACGAGGACGGAGCCGCGCAGCGTGTAGGGCCGCGTGCGCGGGAGCGTGACGGTCTCGAGGTGGATGTTGGCGTAGGGCGAGGGGCTGGGCCGCGGGATGGGTGATGTGACGGCGGGGCTGGCGTCGATTTCCCAGTGCGAGTGGGGTTGAGACGTGGACGGTGATGCGGGCGAGAGCGGGGGCATGGTGGGGAAGGGGTATCCGGAGGACTCGGCTTCGGTCTCGGTCTCGGTGTCCTCGCCTGGCTTGAAAGAGAGGAGACTTGCGGGCTTGCCGGAGGACTTGAAGACGCGGACGTGCTCGATGGGGCGCTTGGCGTCGGCGTTCTCCTCGTCGTCGTCCTCGTCGCCAAAGTGCACGGACTTGACTGACGGCGTGGAGGGCGCGGACTGGGTGCGTATGTGGAGGGCGGGGATGTTGGGGGAGGAGGTGGACGACTTGAGCGACGATTTCAGGGGCTTGCCGTTGGATAGGAGGATGACGGGGGAGGAGGGCGTGCGGTGCATTAGCGAGGGCCGCGGGGAGAATGGGCGCGGAGACGGCGGGCCATACGGAGAGTTGCGGGGGGAGGAGCGTGGGAAGGGGACGAGGAGCGGCTGGGGTTGCGGGGAGGGTCTGCGCGGGGCGAGGTTCGCGGTGTCGACCGAGAGGCCAAGCGAGTTGAGAGCGGGCCCGCCCTTGCGCGTGACGGCGTCGAGCGGCGGGGGAATCGCGTCGTCGTCGTCGTCGTCTTCGTCCTCCTCGGACGAGCGAAAGTGGAACTTTTTGGCGGGGGCGGCCTTGCGGCGGGGGAGGGCGCCGAGCGAGGCAAAGGCGCCGTCGCCGCGCTCGCTGGAGAAGGTGGCGGTGGAGGAGCGGGTGCGGCGGTGCTGCGGGCGGAAGACGGGGGCGGCGTCGGTGGCCGGCGTCGAGTAGACCATGGCAGAAATGCGGGCAGGAGAGAAACGGGGTCGGGGTGTTTGTTAAGAGGCGGGACCTAGGTCGGTGGAGCAGTCAGTGACGTCAAGCGCATCATCGCTGTCGCGCTTACCCACGCAATTTTGCGGGCTGCTATGTACAAGTGGTCGAGGGGCACGACGAGGGCGGCGTCGTGGATGCTGCAGCCGGGGCGATGGTCTGAGAGCAGGGAGATAGCGGCGGTTAATAAAGGCTTGGGCTGGCAATCGCTCCATTCTTCTGCCCCTGCGAAGGATCTGAGACCGCTGGGCTGGCAGTCCTGCAATCCAGAACCAGCACGCTCCACTCGAATAGCAAATTGCCCGTTCTGGTCATCTCGGTCCGACGCTTCCTATTCCCACACTCATCCCCCGTGCCTTATCTCCCCAGGCCGACGGCGCCACCGTCCAATCAATCAACCTCTTTCGATCTTTCCCAGTCCTCGGTCGCCCCCCGATTGAGCCGCCCTCCTCGTCACCCTCGACCGCAGCGCTGCACGCACTCCTATTTCCCCGTATACATCATCCTCTACCCCAGACTTTCTCCCCTGTTCGTGTCCTGCCACACCTCCCCTCCAACCGTCCCGACTCCCGCTCCCATCACACGTGGGCCCTAAACATATCCACGTAGATCGCGTCCAACATATCTACATACACGTCGACGCCAATCCGCGTCCTGCTTCTTCTTCCTGTTATCTTCGCCCGCCTTCGTTGTGTATTCATTTCCCATTCCTCCCGGGCGCGCTCCCGCAAACGTGCGCCTGTCTCCTTCAGTCAGCCTTGGCAGCCCACCCACACCATCACTCGACCATCCATTACAGTACCCAGCCCATCCCGCAGCCTCGGACTTACCGGGGCCCATGGCTATCTATCTATAGGACTGCGCACATCCCTCCCACCTCATTCATGAATCAAGGTTCCGCTCGAGCCCGACATTACCCGCAGCGGCATTCGGGATTCGGGGCCTCGTACCTGCGCCTCGGTAAGTTCGTATCCCACTCTAAATTGGAAGCCAGCCTGGGCAAATAACACATCCAACATGTCCAAATCAAAGCTGCGGGTGATAAGTACCCGCGTTGCGAACAAGAACATGAACAAGAGCGGTATATTATACCAGTGCTAGCCATATATACGACTAGGCAACTAGCAGCGACATCGACAAGCCACGACGGGAACCTTCTTTAATCCCGCACTTGCTCTCGCGATAATCGCGAATCCTCTGCTCGGGCCTCAGGCCCGACCCCACGCTGGCAACACCGCCCCTGCTCGCCCTCAAAACCCTAATCCGATTCGCGAATAACGAAGAAAACGCGGCCAGCATTATGAACCACGCAGGCGACGACACGATTATCTGCTTCTGATCGTCGACGACGCCACCCGAGTATACCCCGCAGCCGCACGCGCGAAAATCCTGGCTGCACTCGTCATATCTGGCCCGAATGCTCGTGCCCCTGGTTTGCCCTTCTGCAATTTGCCATGCGACAATCTCGCCCATAAAGACTGTGCGATCTGCGGTCGATAATTGACGCCACCCGAGTTTGCACCCCGATGCTCGGACTCTGCTTCAAGACTTGCAAGATGCGTCTCCTTAGGTCTCAGGTCTTGCACGAGAGGACTCTATCGCTCCTTCAACCAACATACTCTTCTGATTCTGCCTTGCTTTGAGAGGGATCCAGCGATCGTGACCACCGTGTCTGTACTTGCTCTGCTCTGTGAGCTGAGGGAATGCACATCGCAATGTGTTGTGGCGCGGGGAGCGACGTCTTACATTCTGCTACCCCAGTGCGCTCGCACGGGCGTGGCGACGTGTTCCCATATCGCACCCAGGCGCATCACCCACGTTTGCACAGTGGACGCCACGTTGAGCACAGCCGTCCCCTCCTCCGAGTCGTACTTGTACGTACAACCCCATCGACATCACGCATTCCCGTCCATCGACTTGCCTTCTCTGCCCCCTTCCCTTACCTGCTTCAAAGCAACAGAAGCCCTGTCGCCACCAGCTTGTGCGAATCTGATCCGCCACGTAGCGCCCGATCCCACTGGCGTCTGCTCGGAAGCCAAAGCATTGACGCCCCGAGGGTTGCCCGGTGCTTCGCGCCCGTCCCGTATCCCGATGTCACTGTCAATGTCAACGCCAGCGGCGGACTCGGAGATCTTCTGTGGATCGCTATGTAGTCTTCACGGCCCCGATCGTGTTTCCGGTCGCTGTACGTACTCGCCCACTCGCCGCGCTCGTGCACAGTGCAGGCAATTCAGGCCTCCTGTTTGCCTTCCCCGGCCGCGGTGCCGCCTTCTGCGGTCCATATCCCGAAAGGCGTCTCCTGACGGATGCCCAGGCCTGTTGTCGCGTTTCTTGCGCGTTCCCGGTGAAAGCGGTCTAGAGCCCCGTACGTACTCCCGCGCGCCTTCTATGTATGGCTATGTCACCGTCGTCGGGTGCACGGCGCGAGCCTCGTCGTGTGCGGGGTTGCTTCGCTGAGGGTCTCCTTCCCATACTGCGCCTCGAATCTCCCGCGATCCCATTTCATCGCAATACGCCTGAGGGGAGAGAAATCTTTTGCTTCCGCGCCGATCGTTCCACTCCACCGTCCGAATGGACCTCATTGCCACGTATGTATGTATGTATGTACATGGGTACAAGTGTCAAGTGCGGTTGTTGATGGACAGGCTGTGCGCACAATAACGTACGTCCTGGTGTTATCTGTGCTGCGGTGAGTCCGATTGACGCGCAACGGTGGGTGGCGCAGAAATTTTTGTGCTCTATCGCCGCAGAGCGGACTGTGTTGTATTTCTCGTTGTGACCGGGACGGCTGTGTCGGTCAACGATTCCCACATGCACTCGCCCATGTATGTAGCGGCATGGATATTCACCGTCCCTGCGAATGTCAGTGAAGCAGCGGAATCAGCCAACTGCTTGGCCGTGATCAATTTGGAATGGTGTTGATAACTGAGCCTGGCGGCGATTAGATTAGATCGAGATCTGGTGCAGTGCACTGGTATCTGACATGGCAGATCTGATCCGCTCTGTGTCGGTACCGGCCTGCGCGCGTTGATGCTCTTCTTTACGACGACGACGCGCGAGCTGGACACCGTTCACGCACGCCACGTCGCGAATCCGAGTCGGCGCGTTGAGCACCCAGCTCGGGAAGAACATAGGCTTGTGCCGGTCTTGGGCTCAGGCTCAGACTATGATTCAAGAGTGACACCACCAGACCGACCGCGTGGCTTGGATGCCTCTGCGGCGAGCCCTCTAGAACCATCCGCGGGGCCCACCGAGGCAGGCGCGCCGCGGCTGCGTATCTGTAGCTCTACTCGCCGACGTCCGGCGCGGCGTGCTGTCCTTGAATCATGCGCCGAGCGGCTCAGCGTTGGGCTCGCGGATAGTACACACGTCTTGCGGCGGTCGTGTTCTCTCTCGTTGCTGCCGCCCTTCTGTGATACATAATATGCACGGTGCTTGCTTGCTCATGCATGCATGCTGTGTTGTATTTCGGCTTAGCCCCGACGAAATCAAGGTTCGCTGCTGACAACCCCGTACTCCGAGCCGGTCTCCCAGCATCACGATACTGACAGGGCGTCTTATCCACCGAAGGTGTCTTCGGCCTCCGACTAATTCTGGCTTATGTTATTTACGGCACCTGCGACTTCTCCGGGATGTCAAACACAGGGGCTCATCGGTCAATACGAGCTCGCGTTTATCAGCTAGAGGACACTGCTAAGTAAGTTCCTCGGCGGTCATGGAGCGAAGCTGACTATGTACTGCGTCACTCCCGAACCTCGTCTCCGTATTGTCCTCCGGAAACGTCGTGTGTTATAACCGACCCCGGCCAGTCACAAAGCCCGAATCACTGGGTGCAATTCCCATATTGAGCCACTGAGAAAGTGTGAAAGAAACCGGACAAAGGTCAAATTTTGTTCATAGTGTTGCCTTGCAAAACATATGAAAGCTCAATGAATAGTGCTGAACAAAGAACATATCCTGTGCCACAATCAGGTTTTTGCACACTCAAAAGTAGTATTATTCTAGTTCGGTTCACCAATTGTGCAATAGACAATCATGAAAAAAGTTTGACCTTTGACCTGTTAATTTCACAGTTTTCTGCATGCTCAATATGGGTGATGTACCCAGTGAATGCAGCAATTGTCCCCGGTCACTAAGTAAGCCTGGAGTCCACCCGCTGACATCTGTCCGCGGCGCAGCCCTGGGTGTTCACTGATGTCTGAAATAGTACGGGCCACAGAGGTGTCGGGAATATCGGGATTTCGATTGCAAGGCTTCGCAGGGATTGATACCCAGGGATATGTTCTCTTCGTGGTTGAGGACGTATTCCGAATTCGGAATGCCTATCGTATCCCGACGCGGTGTTGATGCGCTCCCAAGGCGGGATGATGGCTTGATCCTTGCACGCACGCTGTCCGACGAGAGCTGCCACCAACTGGTCTGCCTGAGCAAGCGCGCGTCTAGCCTGGTGAGCCTAATCATCGTCATCTCGTCGGCTGTCCTGTGTCGGCACACTTTAGGCCCTGCATTCAGTAGGATCGAGCGGCGGAGGCAGTCCTCGCATCCGTTATGGTCGAGATATCGTAGGTAGTTTAAGGTTGGAGATTGCACAGCGACGCTATCGGCCGCGTGTGTTCCTTACCACCTATACAGCTTGACGTCAGGTTCATTCACGCTAGTTGATAGGAGTACACCAGCCTGGATGGAATCCGCGGACTTAAGGCGAAGGTAAAGACGGGCTAAGGCTGGTCCACTAGTGCGAGGTTCGTGAAGAGTTCCTGGCGGCAGACGCGAGCTGGGGGTGCTCCACCTACTCGAAGAGCGCAATGCCCTGCGCTTCGTGAAGGGAGGCTATCGACGAGTCCTGGATAGCCCGAGTCGAGGTGTGCCGTCATACTCTCCTCTTGACTCACTTGCCTATTCCCGCAGGCAGACAGACGGGTTGACCTCAGTATGTTTGCGAACGTCTATCGATCGGCACACCGGCCTGTTAACGTTGTCATTGACGTCCTAGATACGCCCAAC